AATTATTTGCCTACTTTGGTATAAAGTTATCACATGACAACACAGATTCATAATCTTATTTCTAAAGTGAGTTCAAAACTGACTAAAGCACACGGTCTCGAGCTTGTGCAGATTACAGGCAAAAACTTAGTAAAATCTCACTTGTCAGAATGCAAAAAGAACGTGCATTTAACTGAGTTATGATGTCACAAGTGAGAATTATCTGAGAATGTAATCGATGTAAATGAAAAGCAACTATAGATTCATAACAAGTCTTTGAATGTAGACGCAGGCTTTAACATCGATTATGCCGCTAATGTTATCAAACCACAATATGTTCGATATTATCTAATGTTACCTAACCACATTTGATGTCTCTCTTGCATACCTCTTGTACTTCTATTTTTCATATATCTTATGGTCTTTCTTCTTCACTTTCCTCTTCCGACTCATCAGTCTGTAAAAATAATATGCATTTATGAAATTACGTTTGTATTTTCAGTCGTAATAATATTCATAACAATTACAATATTAACGAAGTTACTTTTTTGTGCGCCATCAGACGATCGTGCAAGTTCTTTAACTTCTCATCAAATAAAAGTTTGGTATGTATTTGCAGCTCCAACATCACAATCATTTCGTTTTTCGACTTTAGATCTTGTTCTAACAATCGTATTTCTTCTTTCATTGCCGCGTAAATACTTTTATCATTATGACACATTTTGCTCTCGTCGGAAGATTCGTTAGAGGAAGACTCGAGGACGTTAGAGGACTTCGTAGATAGTTCCGACGAATCACTTTGCGAAGAATGATCTTCATTTTTTGATTCGAGAGCTTCAATCTGATTTTGTAGCGCGTTAGTTTTAATATAAAGTGAGTAAATTTGTTTCTGAATCTCTAAACTTTTCATACCCATTACTTGAATAACGTCCTTGTACTTTCGTACTTCTTTATCGATTTCCATTATTTATATTTTCTATTATTATTTTTATTTAATTATTATTCTCGGTATAAATTTCGATGTTCAATATTTCCCAACTTAAGTGTTTTTCAATTGAATTCTATAAATACCTTTTACATCACTATTAATCTCGGTATAATGTTCGATGTCTCTGTTCTTCTGATTCAACTAAACTTTCGTAGGAACAGGACATGTAACGCTCCGCACGTTTAAGCTTCAGTGTACAAACTACGAATGGTACCGCGGTGACTTTGGCCCTATTTACCGATATGTGCTGCCGATCCGTTGCTAATACACTGAAAATTTATAATATACCGACATACATAACATATAGATTTTCACTGACAGGATACAGCGTCAGTTAAAAATATTAGACACTTTATTATTAAAAATTTTAGCTTAAAAATTGATTTTTGGAATTTGATGTAAATTATCCTATGATTTGATTCATGAATCTTTTAAACTTATGTATAATGCTGCTAGTCAATAGATAATAATGCTAATAATAAAATTTCAGATAAATAAAGGAAATATGAATGTTTTTGACAAGGATGTACATCAGAACATGACCCTTGTGTATCTATACATAAACAAACGTCGCCTGGGCTTGTATTCTGTAATTCGTTATGTAGTCGTTATGAGTACATAATGACAGTTGGTTTTTAAATATATAAAATATCTGCGTTGGGTGTTTTGAATTTAAATAGAATGAACTTCGCACGCGTGTAAAAGATCGAGAAATAGAGAAAGAAGTTCTTTAGAGAGATATGCCCATTTTTTGTTTCTTTTTAAAGAAAAAAACAGCTAAAACGTAAGTTTTGAAATATATTATTGCTTTCAAAGCAAAATATTATTTTATTAAATATTACTTTTTTTG